CAAATGGTTTTGGGCTAATTCAGTAACCATTAAGCAGAGGTTTTTGCAAGAGAAGGCACTCTCGTGAGCTTAGTTTACTTCACCCTTGATTCCTTTAATCACAATCCTCTGTCTTAAATTGACCTTAAACCAGAGGTGTCCAAATCTGGTCCTAGACAGTCAACTTGTCTGCATTGTTTTTCAGGTTTTTTAAGTCACCTGCATGTGGGTCAGTACCTTAATGGGAGACCTTCTGGGAAAAACTAAGGTTGCTGCTGGAAGAGGTGTTAGTGGGGCCAGCAGGGGGCGCCCACCCTGCGGTCCATGTGGGTCCTAATGCCCCATGATGGGGACACAATACTGTAAAAAGGCACTGTCCTTTGGATGAGACATAAAACCAAGGTCCTGACTCTCAGTGATCATTAAAAATCCCAGGGCGTTTCTTGAAAAGAGTAGGGGTGTAACCCCGGCATCCTGGTCAAATTTCCCATTGGCCCTTACCAATCATGACCTCCTAATAATCCCCATCTATGAATTGGCTTCATTACTGTGTTCTCCTCCCCACTAATAGCTGATGTGTGGTGAGCGTTCTGGCGCACTATGGCTGCCGTCGCATCATCCAGGTGGATGCTGCACATTGGTGGTGGTGGAGGGGAGTCCCCATTACCTGTAAAGCGCTTTGAGTGGAGTGTCCAGAAATGCGCTATATAAGTGTAAGCAATTATTATTATTATTATTATAATTTTGTGAAGTTAAATTGATAACAACTTGAACCAATAATGGGCTTTTTAGGTTGAGATAAAAACCAGAAGAGACACTGGCCATCCAGGATTAGAATAGGTCACCCCTACCTAATTTCCACTTGTGTCCCCTGATCCGTGCTAATATGGTCAATGTTTTTTGAAAACCTTTTGATTTGTTTCCTGTGCATTTGATTATAAAATAACGTAATACTACATGTCAAAGCTAGCTGTGTGTGACACCCATTTGACAAAATCTTTTTTGAACTGAGTTGACAGGTGACATGAGAGTTTTAACTTTCACTTCTAATTGTTTTTTACTCACGCTCATTAAAGTTGAGCATAACTGATCCTTGAGTTGCTCGTTCCTGTTGCAAAACCTAATATTTTAAGGTTGTATTATCAAACGATTTTGTATCAGAAACAGTTCATACAGTATACATTAGTACAAACATACCTCAGTATTTCTTAATCATATACTTTTCCATACGCAATAAAATATAGCCCTCTTATCTCTATTATGCTATAAATACGAATGAGCAGACTGTAAGAAAAAACTGTGTGTGGTGTGATTGCAGATCAAGTTGTGTAATCATGATTTAGTACCAATAGATTGCAGCTTCATGTGGTTTCAGAAATATTCTGCTGAGGCGAGCATTTGCAATATTTACACTACTTTCGTGCACTCAAGTGAGTGATCTAAAAACTACATACCGCTTTTCACCAAACCCCTGGTTGTGGGGTATTTACACGGGGCTTGCAGGGTAAGCATTATGAGCCACAATATGCTGCATGTTTCCTTCAGGGTGATACAGCAACTTGCCCTCCTTCAGACAATGGTAGAGACAGTCACACTACAGGGAAGTGGTTGGAGTTTGTGCAACAAGAATGAGGCAAGTGATGTGTTAAGATGGAAAATAACAAGTGATTTGTTTAGCAAAGCGTGGACCGAGGGCCTTCACCCCTTGAGGAATCTATTGTATTTATCGTCGTAGCAACCCAAGTCATTTTGGCAAACTCACAGGCAAGTGTAAAGGTCTCTGCACAGAGGCGATGTGATGAGATAGGCATTCCGAACAAGCCGAAGCCTTTTTATTTTGTTAGGCAAACCAGCAAATAGTTACGATTATCAAGACAACTTCAAAACATGGACCAGCATCTCTGTGGCCTTCCTGTTCAGACAGCTATCATATCTACTATAAGTTCTTGCCAATTTTTCCTGAATTACTGTACAACCAAATTGATTAATTGATTGAGATTGTTTAGAATATACTGTCTCTCACAGGTATTGCTACTTGGGGTTCCCTGTCTGCCTTCAGAAACTCTGTAAGCTGCATCTTCTGCAATGGATAAAATTCCCATCAGCAGATCTACAGTGTATTTCTTTTTCAGCTGGATCAGAATCTCCAGTCCCCATACGAAGGTATGGTGCTGGTTTAAGCTGTAAACCATCGCATTTGGTTGGAAACTGTGTCTCTAAGTCAATATACTGTATGCTACATGTGTTGTTACAAATTACCGTTTTGTTAATTTCATTCATTGTCTGAAGGAGAGCAACTTATCCTCTACACTTTCATTGGAAAGCGTGTGATGTAACACTGATGTTGTATGGATGACATATAACAAAGATATCTGGCCGCTGTGTACAAGTTCAGGTTTGCTTGTCTGGAATTTGGCCTTGAAACTATTATATTGTTGCTTAATTGTCCAAGGTCGTGTTTCTTTAGTATGCAGCAAAACTGTCAGTACTTGTTTAACAGTTAGGATGGTACCTAAACATCTGAGATTTAATGTTTTGTGTGTTTTAAATGCTGTGTCATTCACTGATTAATTATGCTCATTACAGTTTTACTTGGGTGTCAAGTTTGATTTGCTTGTATGTGCACTACAGCATGACTTGTGGCAGTTAGCATCTGATGTTTTGAGATTAATGCCTGTGATAAACATATCCCTCAGTGTCTTCTTGAAGTGTAGTGGGTCAATTATGAAGACCAATATTCTTGTCTGTTCTCTAGAATCTTATCTTTTCAATTTAAATTACAAATTAAAACTTGGGTAAAGGTAAAGGAAAACGTAGGTTTGCTTGAACTTTTTGGTAAGGGTTAAAATTTTAATATTTTACTTATAAATAAGATATTTACATTGTAGCCATGAATTGAAAAGGAAAGTAAGAGGAATACATTAGTCTTCAAAGAGATTATAATTTTCCTCCAACAAGGAAGTTAGAGGTACTGTTCATAACGGCCAGAATAATACTGCGGTAAATTTCTCTAGCCTTTTCAAAAGCTCTTGTTTCTAGTTTTGCAAATTACCCCAAGACATGCAAAATGGCTCATCTTGAATCCACATCCAGGCAAATGAGGAGAGTGTGGAAACTAGATCTGCTGTGTTCTTTGTAAGCACGACAATATGCTACTCTTCAAAGCAAATTCTATGCAAATTAATTGTGTACTGCTGGCACAAAATGAGGTTAATCATGGTTTAGAGCTAGATATTTGTATTCGCTGTATTAGCTGTGTAATAAGGTAGTTTCAGTAACTTAATTTAGCAGTTTTTAAACAATGGCTCATTTCTTTTCTGTTCCCAAATCCATTATTTTTTACAGTCTATTGACTCTTAAAGCTTCAGTACCCTTCACCGTTTCAATCTTTTATAATTTTTTTTGAAAGAATCTTGCAATTCCCAAACCACTTTACAAATAACTGGGACAAAAAAAGACAATATGCATCCTACAATCCAAAGGAAGGCGGTATAAACAGGTTTTAAAATTAGATTTGAATTGTCTCTGTCCGTTAAGTATTCCCATTTACAGTGGAAGGTGTGCCTCAGGTACACTGCTGGAGAAGATCTCATCTCAACACGCACGCTCCATAGTCTTGTTTAGGGGACAAGCAGGAGACTGGAGTCGGAGAACCCACATCTGCAGCTAGAAGCTCAAGAGGGGTATTCTGAAGTCTGCACATAGATTAACAGCAAGGCAGTACAGAGATACAGTAACAAGACAAAATCTATACAATATGTTCATCATAACGACACCTAGCCGATCCTCTAGCTGCTCAGTTTTAAGCGTGTTGAAGTTGAAGTTAAGTGCGAAGCGGGTGGAGCAATACAGTAGTTGTGTATTTTTGTTTTTTTATCATCCAGATTAGTTTGCCTGCTGTGGGCAAAGACAAGACAAGACAAGACAAGACAGGATGGGATGTAACCAAGCAATGCTCCTAAAATGAAAGAGGGGCATTAATAGGCATGATTAGAAAAGTGGATTTTTGCTGTGGAAAGCTAAGATGATGCAATGAAATGGTTTGTGCAAGTTCACCATCAGCTATATAATTCAGAAGCCTCCTGATCTTTAAGCACACAGTAAGAAAGGCAATTAAATTCAACTAAACTATGAAATAAATTGTATTAGTATATATTTGGCTTTCAGTTTCCACTGGTGATGTAGATTTAGTTCAACTGGCATGAAATCCAACAGTCCCCCAGGACCTGAGTTAGGAACACTGGTTTAGAAGAAATGTATTTATCTGACAGAAATATGAAAAGTAGAGGTAAAGGAATGGCATCTGTAACCTGAGCCTGATTAATGAGATGTCAGCACCACTGAGCATTGACACGTACCTGTTTCAAGAGCTCTTCCCTGCTGGACTTCATATCTAAGTTTTTTTTTTTATTCAGTGGCACCAACTGAAAACTGTTACAAAAAGAAGGCATTTGATTGACATTTTTCTGAACTCGCACAAACTGATGTCTTGTCTCAGTGTGTATTTCTTTATTGATCTTTAATGATGATTGTCGATTGATTGTGAAACCTGTCCATACAAATTGAATGAACCTTTAAAAGAATAGTAGTTCAATAGCACTTTGATTCTTCTACATGCTTCTTGCTACACTTGCCTTTCTATCATTGCTGTATTTTGCTTACTTTCTGTGTTAAAATTATGCTGCAACCTACATTCCTACCTTATTTTAAAACTTGATATATTAGACTGTAACCTTTATTATGCTCTCTGTCAAATGAAAATAGAAATGACGATTAAAAAGATCATTCCTTCCTCTTCCTGATAATCAAAAGGCAGTTTTATTCTGACTGAAAGTAAAGTATGAATCCGGCCAACGGTTTCTTTTATGAGATGCTGTTGAAAATATTTGGGAAAAGCTTTTTGGAAATGCTGTGTATAAAAGCTATACTATTAATATCAAGTATTAGATTGTAGCCTTAGTTATTGTTACAAAATCTTCAAAATTTGAACTGTAAGGGAAGAATTGGTTTCAAAACTGCAATTCTCTTAAAGAGTGCTGAATTGAATTTATTGGATATACATTATAATAAAAGAGAGAGAAAATGTACATTTCAACAATTGTTTTATGTTAATACATTGGTTTGTAGGAACAAGACACTGCAAAGCATACAAATCACTGATCACTGCACCAATAATCAAATACAATTCTTCACTTGTAAACATATCTGAGTGAGACTAAATGGCTATGCATGCAGGGTTAAGTTTTTATTAATTTATACATGTATTTTGTTAACCTGTGGTGTTTGCCAAAACATTTCTCCACAACTGACTAATGCCTTTCAAGGGGTTAATAGCATTTTAAATGTGTCTCATAGACAATCGCATACAATTCCATTCGCTTTCAAAGCCATGTAAAAAACAGATATAGTGCCAAATGCGCATCACACTTGCAGTACCAATGAATCTCAGACTTAAGATTATATTGAATTGCTATCACTAATCCTTCTTTCTAGCAAATTGTACATGAGCATTACTTTGAAAGAATTAAAAAAAAAAGATCTTGGGAACAGACCACCTGAGTTCTATGCTGATGGTATTCTGTTCCAATTTCTCAAGACAGTGTTATAAACAAACTGTTCAAACCTAACTCTAAGCCAAACAGTTCAATGAAAGCAGGACTGCTGTAAGACACCAGAAAACAGCTCAGTGCATCCCCGCACCCACAAAAACTGGATTGTTTAGAAAGAGAAATGTGAGAGAATCTTGTACTTTTGGTTTCCCTCAGGATATAAAGCAAGCTTTATGTACAGTATGTGAAGTGGAGGAATATCTCAATTTTGGTCCTTAGTATATCGCAGTTCTAAACATTTTCCCCTTGAGAACTTGTGCCCAGTGGGGTAAATTTTAGTCCCCGTTCCATAGTAAAATTTAATTTATGCATAGATCTTTTTTTAAAGCCAGTAGGAAGCTATAAACTTTCCAATGAAAAAATCCCACTCTTCATCATTAAAGATCAATAAAGAATAAATTACAAGAGTCTCCTGATTACCTTTTAAAATATATACGACGAAAACAATCCATTGAAAAAGCAAGACAAGGATTTCGTTTTTTTCCAAACATAATATTAAGCTCTTTTACTCAACTGGAATAGCCAAGCCCTGGGTTCTCTTCGACAAGTTAAACCGCAACACTGTTTGGGACCCTGTCAGGTGAAAAGTAATAGTAGGGCAGTTTCTTGTTTTTGTTTCTTTCCTTGATGATGCTGGCAACCTCGTCCAAGTTCTTCCGGAATCTCGCCATGGCCTGCTTCACCGGTTTCTCGATAAAGTGTTCATCTGGGTACATGCCTAAAAATAACTGACAATAGGACTGAAGGTAATTTCAGGAAAAAGGACTAGAAACCCTTAACTTCAGGGTTGATAGTCAAAGCTCACAGCTTCCCTTTTTTTTCATGGCTGTTAAATAGAAATTCAGTCCTGATATGAGCAAAGGAGATTTCTGATCTTAAGCCACAGATGAACAGTTCCAGAGTTATAATTCAATTGTATTTAAATAAGGAGACAGATTGCTTGTTTTTTTTTTTAGTTAGTTGGGAATTGACAAATAACTGTAAAACCTGCGGGAGTCCCTTTCTTAGGTACTAGACTTGGCCATCTATACCTATATATACTGTTTAAGTCTGAAAACTGTACCACTTTCCTATCCAGCAAAATAAGTCATGTTTAAAATCCTGTGCTGGAGTTTTTAAGGAGCAGGTAGAGCCTTCCATGCCTCTGAACTTTGCATTGAAAGCAGTGAATGAGATTTAAACCAGGAATGATGGTCCTCTGCAGGAGATCTTTGGAATGTGACGCATCTGCTAGTACTTCGGGTTTCCGAGTCTCATTAATGATATGCCACACGGCCTGTAGAAAACAAATGTATGTACTGTACGTGGAGGCACTCGCAGTCCTACTTACTTCATTTTCCTGAAACTGGCTGAGGGCCCAGACAGCCCCTAGGTGCCAGCAGGATCGGCCACGGTCAGGAAGAGACTCGATGATAAACTCAATCGTCGTGACGCCCTTCTCGGTGGGTGGTGGGCGGCGCATGGTAGGGGGGGAATTCGGAATCCAGGAGCACCAGTCGTACTGTAAAAGTGCGTGGGAGTTGCAATCAAGATGGAGAGCAGGAGGTGCTTCATATCATAAAGAGCTGTGGTAGCTAGAGCTACCCACCCAGCCACTATTCAAGATGATGCCCTTCAACAAACAGCTGCAAGAGATTTACAGGCAACCCAACCTCCTTGAAGGGTTTAATAGCCTCCCTTAGGTTGTATGCTCACTTATGTTCTATAACGTTCACAGAAGTAGATCATTCTACATCTCGGAGCCCAGAACATGCAGTCTCCATTGCACTCAAGATCTTTATAACTCCTAACCCAGCCCCCACCATCTCTTACATTAGAAAGAAACCTTCGTGTGTGGAATTCAAGGAGGCAAATTCAACATTCACAGGAGTTAAGGCATGACTAGTGGCATGATTTACTGTAGATCAGGAATGACCATTTGAAGCCTTTGGGACACCGCAGAAACACTGTAAGCATTGGTAAAATTAGATTGTGGAAGGAATGTTAAAATAAATGTTTCCATTATTATTTTTTGCTGTTCTCCGTATTAATGATGCAACAGTTATTATAATTATATAATGAGTATTATGAACAATTCATTGTTATGCAAATCGTGCCATGATATAGTAAATTAAATAGGTCCCAAGGTTGGGCTTGGCTGATAAAATTCTGAAGCTTAGCCAGATTGAAGGTAGAATAATATTGCCTCAATCTGTTGTTTTTTCAGATAAGGAGTGCTTAGGACTGATCACTGTATTGTGTGTTAAGCACACCAAGACAATTTGATTTGATTAAATTGGGGTCCTTTAAATGTACAGCTGGCTTTTGCAGATCTGCAGTTAAAATATGAAACTTTCTTTCCTTATTGTGTTTCACTGCAAAGCTTTGCCAAAAGTGAATGAGGGGGGAAAATAACTTTTCAGGAACACCTTTCTCCTGCTGTAAGACCAAACTCCAGGTATGTACAGTAACAGTGGTGCATCTCTACCTATTTCTAACTCTGGGGCTCCAGCCTTCCATGCTAGTGTTCACTATGAAGCAGGTGGAGCCTATCATCATCCACTGAAGATCTTGCAAACAAAACGTATTTCATGTGTTATATCAATACAATCGATAGACAAAAAGCCAGTAAGTGTAAAGTTGGATTTAAGCTGACCTAGTTTTCGGCATTTAACCTGGAACAATGGCAAATTTTAAATTAGAATACACTGGTTCTTTCATGCTACTGACATTGCAACTATAAAAACACGAAATGGAGACATTATCTAATACATATATACCATCACAACTGCAAAGAGTATTGGGTTCATGCCATTGGGCCTGCAAGATACATTCTTATTTACTATATCAGTGTATTATATCATAACGCATATTAAAAAGAAAATTGTTAATCATGGTATCCTTGTATGTCTTAACATGCTACATGATTTTATTGAGAGAGAGAATTTCTGAAGTAAAATCTTTAACATTTCCTCTCTAATACTACATATTCTGAAGTGCCATGTTGCTTTTGATCAAGTGAACTTTGTGTGAACACGGTGCTTGCTGTGGCCTGCACTCTATCTGAAAGCACACACTCCAAGGGGCAGCAGTGGTGGGTTATATTTTCTTCCTGTGTAGGCCTCTGCCCTCAGCAGCCTCTGTCATACTGAGGATGTCGATTGTGTCACATGGTTGTCATGGTTTGATGAAAGCCATACAGCACATTTCTAATTTGCAAGAGAGAAAGCTCTTTATAGTTTATTAGGAGAAAATACTATGAAGCAACAATCACCAGCACAAGATCCCTTCAATAAATGAACATATACAGTAGAAGGTGATTATTTAGTACAAGTGAAACAAGCACTCACATGCTTCCTTATCTGCACGTAGTAGATATATGCCTATTGGTTTAGAATTGCAAGATTAGGAATTATTGTTCTGAAAAGAGCAATAATTATGAAATAGTGGTGTCTACTAAAATTTACAATTCAGCATATATATTAATAAGGAACAAGTAAAGGTTTATTCCATGCTGAAAAGAGAAGAAGAGAAACACATTGTTTCAGCTGTGGAGCCTTCCTCGGGTGTGGGTTTATAGTGTGAACCCAATACTCACACCCGAAGAAGGATCCACAGCTGAAACATGTTTCTTTTCTTCTCTTTTCAGCATGGAATTAACCTTTACTTGTTCCTTTGCAGCCCAGGCATGCTGACGCCGATATCTACTTGAACTACTTCATATATATTGCTTTATTAGCAACTTTAGAATATTAACTGCACTAGATGGAAACAGATGCCTCATTCTGTCATACTGTATGTTCACACCCATTCTATCTATGATTTCTGATACTGTAAGTAAAGGAATGTTTTTACATTTGGTGATCTCATTGGCAGTTTTGCATTTATGCTACTTAATAAAACTGTACACTGTACATAGTAAACTGTACATTTTGTTATACTGTAGCAAGTTATTTTACGTTTTTGCGATTTACAATAACATAGCTGTAAACCTATTGGGGAATTTAAAATAGGATTACACAGGATGGGTATAAGATCATCGCTGAAAGCTTGCTGAGTTAGCTATGACTGAATATAATGAATGAATATAAGAAATAAGAGGTTTCAAACAATAGGAAACTATCTGGCCCATCTAGTTTTTTGGTATGTATTTCCCAGGAACTCATCCAGCTGTTTTTTTTAAAGCAGCAAGCCTGGTAGCTTGTTCCATGCTCCCATAACCTGTAGCATAAGGAAATGTTTCCCAAAACCTATTGTGTTAAAATGAATTAAATTAGATTTGTTTCTGGTAAGGTTGGACCATTAAAGATTAAGACTTGCTAAAGCAATGAAGATTAGAATGTGGCTGTCCTTCATGCTTAGTTTTTAACAGTTTGTGTGTCCTTATTGGATTTCCCTGAAATAGTTGCTTACAGTACCTGCCCAAAATTGACAGCAGCATGCTGTGCTGAGGCGGTGAAGATCACAACGGTCAAATACTCAATCAGTTTCTCCAGTGTCTTAATGGTCTTCGGGAACCCTGAGAGGAACAGATCACATTATCACCCAAAAATACTGCAGATCATCTTTTTACATTTCTCACTAGTTTTATATCCACCGCTCTGGACTCTGTGATTCCTTTCTCCTTGGTACTGACAAACTAAGACTTATGAGATTTAATGCTTTTCATGTTCAGTTTAATTAAGACCTCTGGCTGAATGAATGTGAATGTTCTGTGGCAAACCAAGTCTTGGAGTTGATATTACTGGTTCTGAACTTCCATCTTCAAAGGAATATTTTGGCATAAGCAACTCTTAAAAGACTTTAATTACCCAGGGGTATGTGCTGAGAAAAGCCATGGGGAACTGAATGAGTCCCCATGAGTAAACATTGTACTCACAGCCATATACAGTACAACAACTGGTGCCCAGTGGTTCTGCAGAAAAGGCATATTTTAAAAGCTTCACTTGATTGATTGACAGAGTTAAATTACTCTTACTATGGTTAAAGGTTAAATCCTTTCCTATGGTCTTCATCTCTAAGTGGTTTGTACAAGAAAATCTGACCAGTTGCAATAATTCTGGGTCAGGACTGTGTAACAGTTGTTTATGTAGAAACAATGAAGGCAGTTTTGTAGCTAAGCTTTAAATAATAAAATAAATAATTGCACAAACAGTATTTGCTGTCAGCTGGCATCTCTTTTATACTGTTTTACAGTGAATTTGTTATTTCATCACTATCTACTCTGCATCCCCTGGCAGACTGTAGCCTTTCTTTAACTCTCACTACCCCCACCCTGGCTTCGAGGAAGTCTACTTCCTGTCAGGAAAAAGAGGAAGTTTCTATTTTGGAAACAAAACAGCTGGCACTGGATTTAGTTTTAGCTTCTACTGTAGCTAGTTTATTCTTCAGAGCCTGAACTTACAAAATGTTATTACATTTGTTCTCAAAACATTGGCGTTCTTTTTTCACTAGACTATTACAAACAATAACTGCAATGGACAGAAACTGTTATGTAATTTGCTATGAGGTTGGTTACATTGCATGTACATGGCAAGGTTTTGCTTGCAGGCTGAGATTTAGACAAGCAGATATTTTAGTTAGTTCAGAATGCCGATTTAAGGGATATTTTCTTTCCTAACAATCTCGTAATTATACTTTGTTACACTGCTGTCAGCATTTTGAAGAGTGGGGACAGTGCTGTGTTTAAGTCTGCGTGTGCTATACAGTATGTATGTTGGCAGAAAATTAATTATCAGTTGCATATATTTAATGTGCATGTTCTCTACTGAAACACCTTACTAAAAAACGTTTTTATTCAGGGGCTAGCATTGTATACACAGCAAGATATTTATGTGTGACGGATTATACAGTATTGCTTTACAGTTATTTTCATATCCTCTTTTTTTTCAGGCTATGCATTACACATACAGCAATAAACGCATGGTCTTCATGTACTGTATCACTGATTCAGTATATACATGAAGCAAGATATCCAACACTCGCATTTGTGTGAGTGGTTATATTGTCTTACAAATGTTATTTTCATCTCCTTTCTATTTTTTTCCATGGACTTTTTATTGAACAGACCATGATAAATTTATTAACATTAATACTAGAAATATACAATATATGTATCTTACTCTGTTAAATCCAGTTTTGTTTAGGAAATTTTTGCTTTCGCGCCTTCCTGAAAATGTTCACAAAATAACAAATGCTAAATTTTGATTTTTTTAACAGAAACTGCACTAAACACTAACCTGAATTTTCGGTGTCCTGCATCCCAAAGACGCTTACATCCTTCACAAAGGCTTGTATCTCCTCATCATTCTGAACTGACTCATCGCTGTCATAGTAGATGTTCACAACATCCGTCACAAACCTGTTCAGAGCACAGGATACGTGTTGCTCAGACATATTATGTGACTTAAAACAAAAGTGCTTTTGATGCATCATTTCATACAATGACAAGACTAGAGAGCTTGTAATGATTTGAGACGGTAATTTATCTAGTAATGGCTTTTGTATTTATCTCTAGAATCTTTTAACATTACAGTTCACTGCTCTTTGTGAAAGTGTCTCAATCCATCGGCGAATGTCTTGTGTCAAGTTGCTCCTAAACAAATTGGATCATTTATTATGTATTCATGGGGGAGGGAGCTCATTCCTAAGATAAGTTTCTATCTTTAGGAAATCAATAATCTTGATTTTGTCATTCAACTACGTTGAGCTTAATAACATAATTTCACAAAAAGGATATTATTCGTTGATAAAGTTGCACAGGTACTGAAATATTTGCCCGCTTAAGAAATGCATCATCTTGACAAAAGGTTGACAATCACTGTACCTCTTGACTACTTCCCAGACTCTCATCCCATCGTCTCGGTAAAAGAAATAGGGGAGCTCTTCCTGACTTTCCATTTCTCTGAGTTTTATGGCTTCAGGGAAGATCATGGATTGATACGTGAAATCCTTCATGGCCCTCTGCACCAGCTGAACATGGCCCCCTCCACCTGTAGCATTGGCCTACAGAGTAAGTAAATGTGTATAGTAAACAATATAATAATCACATTTTCAACTGATGGAAGAAACAAAAACGTTTCTTTACCAAAAGTCTCTAAACATTTGTACTGGATAAATGACTAGTCCTGGACGTAAATCAGAATAGAGTTTTCACTATCGGTAACTGAGATCTGCACGGGAAATTGAACTCATCTAAAACTCAATATAGTGACGGGGACATCCTTCGGATGAGACGTAAAACTGAGGTCCTGACTCTCTGTGGTCATTAAAAATCCCAGAGCGTTTCTCGAAAAGAGTAAGGGTGTAACCCCAGTGTCCTGGCCAAATTTCCCATTGGCCCTTACCAATCATGGCCTCCTAATAATCCCCCTCTATGAATTGGGTACATTACTCTGCTCTCCTCCCCAGTGATATCTGATGTGTGGTGAGCGTTCTGGCGCACTATGGCTGCCGTCGCATCATCCAGGTGGATGCTGCACATTGGTGATGGTGGAGGGGAGTCCACTCACGCTTTGAGTGGAGTGTCCAGAAAAGCACTATATAAGTGTAAGCAATTATTATTATTTACTGGAAATTTCCTGGTTAGATGTCCCACAAGATTACACGGAACTAACACACTTTTTAGTGTATGTGTTTCTCTGCTTGGGGAACGTTGTCCCCAAGTTGTCCACACATATGCTAAAAGCTTGAGAAAGCATAGGTGAGTTGTGAGGCTTCGCAGCATTTTCATAACTTGCAGCTAAGTTCCTTAATACTGTCTCTCAGAATCCTGAAAGTGCTCCGCCGTGGAAGACTTATAAACACAAGACGGTGTAAATGAGAGGAGGCCATTCAACCCACCTAGCCTGTTGGGTAGTTAGTAATTTCCAGAGTCGCACAACCCTGTGGGTAAAAAAGCACTGCGTGTTCTCAGTGCTTAATGCAGGTCTAAGTAGTTTCCATTTCTGCCTTCTGGTTCATGTATCACTTGTTGATTCCCATTGTGTCAACAATTTGTCCCAAATTGCAGTATTTTATGTTGGACTTATTAGATGTTTTAAAATACAGTCTCCTTAAATAACACTTTATATTGAGGTGTTGCTTTTAATGTGTATACCTGTAGGATGATTGCTAGAGAATTTATGAAGTAATAAAACTCTAATGACAGCCTTTGAAAGATACAAGAATGCGTGCTGCAATCCATCTCAAAGTGAGACAAGTGCTGGCAGTTAGCATCGGAAAGGGAAACTTTGTGTTCAGAACTCTTGACCTATTTAGAGAAATCGTGAGAACAACTTCAGCACCAATTATTTGAAGGAACTCTTTTGGTGCTATAGAAGCGTTAAAGTTGTTAATAGAATCATAAAATTTGTGTTGTGGAAAAAAATAAAAATTAATTAATTAAGGTTAGGTGAACCAAGCAATTCTTACATCTGCAGCTGTCCTTACAAATATGATAATCTGTAGTTACTGTAAAAATGTTACTTAATTATCTTATACTGCTATTTTCTATAATAAATATGCAAATGGAAATTATATGTCCAATATTTAGTAAAATGGTTAGGAATAAGGGAGTATTACGATTGTCTGAATTACCGCAAAAAAGTATTTGTGTTTTGTGGTTATTGTGGTAAAAATATTAAACCTATACACTGCAGTTGGAACTTAATGGTTCTCATTTAAAACTAGTTGTGGAGTTAACACACGTACAAAAGCTTAAATTAGTGATCAAACTGTCAAATACGGCATTTTTGCTGACCTGGGATATAGAGTGCAAAAGTGTTGAAGGTGTGAACAGAAAATGTAAAAATAAGACCTTGTGGCATTCTGCTCATAAGTGGAAGAACCTTTTGTAAAGAAAACAGGAAACGGGGTAGCATTCTTGTTCGATACTGATGACCTGCATATTCTTGTTGGCAGCCAACAGCAATATCAAAAGACTCTAAATCTTATCTAAAAGAGTCCTCTCAGTTTTACTGTTAATGAAAAATATATGTAACACTGAAAGATGTTTCTTTTTCATCTCCTACTTTATAATTTTACAGTCAAGCTTGTAAAAGTTCACAGAAACCATTTCTCAGCAACCATGTGAATATGATGAGGCTTGAGCTTCATTATAGTGCTTGATGTTTATTGAATGTGAGCTGAACATTTATTTGTAGTTTGCATGCTACAGTGTCCATGCAAAACTAGTGAGAGGGCTTAGCAACAATCTATGCAATCAAAAGTCTCTGCCATTGGCACAAGAGTACCCTTCCACTTTGGATAAAAGCGTCAGCAAAATAATTAATAGTAAAACCGCCTCAAGGTCACAGATCCGGGTTCAGGATGCTCAGCTGTTATTCGTGGTGGCAACTAAAAATGCAGCACCTGCAACGCCAAGCAGTCCACACTGAATCTACCATGTGGAAGAAGACTGGACATGTTTCCTCTAGACCAGTGTTTCCCAGTCTGGGCACTGGGTTACCCCAGGGTCTTTAGCTCATCACATTCTTAAATGTAACTGTTTGCTGGTATTTATAAACCATTTCAGATGCTGGGATTCAGCTCTCACTTAAGTTTGTTACAGGTCAAGTTCTTGGTTAGATATAACCAATGGGCCCTTGCGGCACTAAGAACACTTCTATCTGGACAACTGAGAAGAAATGAGATAGATAAGACTTTACTGAAATAGGAGCTGTCAATGAAATTGTAGGAGAAAAAAAAAACTTTCAGCTGAAGCAAAGTTCTCCTTCTTATATTTCTTGGAACGGACACAAACAAGGCGTTACTTGAAGCTCTGAGTGCAGAAAACAGTTAAAACTGTTATCAAATATTTGCTCAAAGGTTCAGTACATTTAATTCAGTAAGAATTCAGAATGACATCCTGAAGAGACAGTGGCCCTCCAGGAGTAGGCCTGGGAAACACCTCGCTGGAGCAGGAGAGCAGTGAGGAACTTGGCTAAACAGAAAGTGAAGATCTTACGTTTGACTCCTCGAGGAAAGAAAGTTAAGGCTAGACGTGAGTGTAAAGCAGTCCTTACCTTATCAAAGAGTCCGCACTCGCAGATGAGCTGCTCTCGAGCCTTGGTGTTGATGGCAATGGTGAAGCGCACATGGGGAATGAGAAGCTGTGAAGGCAATCATTTAATAAAATCGCCATTTTAGCATTACAAGCCTGATTGATACGATTTATTTTTCACCGAGAATGAATGCTAGAAAGAATACTAATGCTGTAGCAACATAAACCACCTTGAAGGCCTGGAGCTGTCATAAAATGCAACAGCTGGGTATTTTTGAGCATGCTTCAAGAAAGAAGAGTCAAGAGCAGGAGGGACAGAAGGAACCCATGTTGAGTTTGCTGTGAAAAATTGTAGGCAAGCACCTTGAAGATGGGGTGGACAGCAGGAAGCTGGCGAAACATGGCGATTCCGAAAACTTCTGAAATGAGATGTGTCCGGAGGAGATGTGTGACAGTTTGGTGAATGTGGAAATCAGAAGATCGCACCCAGATCTTTGCCAGAATCCAGTCATATTTAGCATCACTTGGTAGGAAAATTGGATTGTTTTCCCCTGGAATTTGACCCAGCTGTTGAGAAAAGAAAGGTTTAATTATCATTAAAAACTCTTTTTGCAGTTCATTCCACTGATGTGCTTTTTTTGTAGACAGAAGTAATTTTACTGTACGACACACAGATAACTATTTTGAGGGCAGTAATTCAATTTGTACATTATTTTGAATTTTGGTTTGGTTTTGGTTTTAAAAATGTTTCTCTCATAAATAGTTATGTCACATTTTATTAAGATTACTTTATTAACATAAATGTAGCAGTTTTTAAGTTGTTATTGAATATTGTATTTTAATTCACCATTCACTTCAGACATGGAAGTTTCAGTGAACATCATACTTCACCAGAACACTTTTATCTGCTGGTAATTCTAAATTAGACTGTAAACAAGGAACATCACAGTACGATAATAAAAACAATACATACTTAAACTATTGTACTCTGTAAATTTAATGAATGGAGAAGGGTAAGAGTTAGATTCTGCCATCAGTTTTCATCATTCATGTCCAACTCATATTTGGAAGTGTCATTTTCAGCGTTTTGACATTATTAAATAGCTTTTATATTCCTAACTAAACTCGAGCAGTGTTTTTAGACAAAGTGACAATGTTTAAGTATTACTCCATTATCAATTGAGGATCTTGTATTCGAGACAGTAATGCAAAAAAATACTGTGGATGGAGTGTACTAGATGTTATCATAATTTCTCAGTTTAGAATTGTTTGAAATGTAGATGTTTAACTGACATGCTTACTTATAGTATTTAAATATAAATAGCAAATGGCTCTGTAGGCTTTTGTTAAAACATAATCCTTTGTCAGTGATCTGCTACAGTAGAGGTATTTGGATGCTTTTTAAATAAGTTACTGTATGAATAAATGTTAAATTGAGAACTAGCTGATGGAGTGTGGTTTATTATACTGTAAATACTATTAATCGTCGGCCATAATTTTCTCATACAGACAAACCTGGTCACTGGATCTAGATTTTTTATATATTTGCTTATCCTACTCGGTCTGGGGGACAGAAGGCAGGGAGTCAGAATGCTCTATAATAAAGGGCTGCACTGCCTTGCCCGTGGCAATTGTAACGGTGGTGGGGAGATGACAAAAAAAGAAACGTTTAATTAGCAAATTGGTGCTGGTTACACGTGGCAGGCTGGTTTCCTTTTGTTCAGCAAGTGCCCTTCTCAATGCATCAGGAAAAAAGGTTTGCACGTTCCCTTGAGCCTTCATTATGAATGCCACGTTGCCCCATGTAAAGTCACTAAATATTGTTGCATAAAGTACTCTTCTATGTTTCTGTGCTGAATCTACTGTACATGCACTGAAATTCCATTGTCTGAACCTAATCCATGCTGTCCACTTGAAGGACACATTTTTAATACCACTGATGCTTTAAACTTGTTTCATACTGGACATTTATAAAGTTAAGTAAAAGTATTGAAAATATTCTGACTTCAGCTTCTTTCTTGAACTATCGGTCAAAGAGGATTAACTCCTAACAGATGGCTTTGCATATTAGCAGTGTGTGGGACTTTCTTCGCATTAATAACCACTTATTATTGATATTCCAAGCAAATACTAATTTTATAATATTTTTAATCCCAGAGTGTTTTATATAAAAGAGGGGATCCACCATCCAACACGGTCCCAACCTGTGACCAAGTGGAGACATGAGAAATGACTTCACCTACTGAATCAAGGGGGGACGTTAGATAGGTTAAGCCTAAGGTGCTATTTAGCCAGCACACCAAGTTATTGCCCTTATGCTTATAAATTGTACCATGGGTTCTTATACCAAATAATCAAAGATCACATTTCCACATCTGAAGGACAACACCTCCTGTATCACAGTGTCACAACCACCATTAAACTGGGTTATTATATTGTTCAGAAAGGAAATGCACCACCTATCTCAGTCAACCAGCACCATCCGTAGCCTGGCCTTTCTATCACCATACTAACTAGGTCCAACCTCCGAGTTTAACCTCTGATGTCTTCTGAGATGCTGTTTTTTATCTATCTGTGGTTAATTATATTTTTAAGATTACTGTTACTATGATCAACATGTTAACTTCTTTTAGCTCTTTTTTAATTAACTTACCACAGACTAAAGCATTAAGAAAAATAAGAACAATAATCCCCAACACAGAATTTGGCAGTGCTCAAGAATTTGAACTGGCAGAAGTGTAAGCCCCTTATTACTTACGTGACAGGAAGTTACAAGAATTAACAGTCACTGTGAAGACGTAAGGAATATGCATTGTCAAGATATCTGCTTGTTTTCACACAGTGAAAACATCACATGACTAAAGGATGATAGACATCGCCACAACTCCCAAAGCCATCAGATCATGGGTTAGTGACCACTGATGTGCTGGTGCAAACTCACACTCACGCTGGTGTTAAACCTTTATCTCCAGTCTCTTCCAGCCCTTTGGGAACTGTGTGTGGAACCACCTCAGTGAGTAGAAACTAACCAAATTGAGTGTAAATTTAAATATTTGGTGTACTCTGGTTTAAAGTTAGTGTTGTGGTAGCAGTCTGGAGGAGTCCTTAGGTGTCAAGTCTTGTAACTGGAAGGTTGTGGACATTGTTTTACCTGTGAGAACAAGATATGTCACTCATCTTGTTCTAGTAAAATTCACAAAATAAAATAAATAAATAAAATATGAACAGCTACAGTATAAATGTAAGTCGCTTTGGATAAAAACATCAGCAGGCCTTAAAGAGGAAGGGCAGTGAAAACTTGCAAGGATTCCTATCTTGACGCATGAGATCACAGATCATTTGGATTCACATACCTGAATGGCGATTGGAAGAATTTTGTTCTCAGAATTCTTGTAAAGTAGGCAAATGGGAGCCGCCAAATACTGAATGGTGCAGGGATCTGTAGAGTTCGGTGTTACATCTTCCAGCATTTCATAATCAGCAATGTAAACATTGCCTTCCTGCAAATAAATAATATTTAAATGTGATTTTTAATCCTCTCATTGGAACGCAGAAGCCATTTTCTATACCATTTCAGTTTATCTGAAGAAGTTGTATGGTACATGGGCTTATGCCTCAGTGCACACTGACCTACTGGAATGTTAAATGCTTCTTATGTTTAAAGAGTACAAGGTTTCTATCTACAAAATGCTTTATTGCTTGTTCTGCAAAAATGCATACACTTTTGACCTGTTGAATTTCATAACTGCTTCTTGCGCAAAACCCTTTTGATTAGAGAAGCAAAATAAAAAAGTTAGTCTTTCTAAAGCTAGGTTTAGGGGGCTTAGAGGTGTGCTAGAGACAGAAGTTTTAATCCATTGCCCATTCACAGCGGCACTGCTGGCTCAGCAACTGACAGAAGAGAAGTTGCATTGGTTGCAGCAGAGTTTAGATTTAAAAGAATAATCATGTACAACAAACCAGAAATTAGTAAATATATCCTGTCAATATTAGTTGCCAGCTAGCGATAACGCTTAGACGGATGAACCTGAGATGCTTCAAACTGAGAGTCCTTCTATGTAGGATGCTGTTAAATTGAAAATAAGGCGATGTTGCAATTGCTTGAAAAGAGGGATATTATGCGCTAGACTTCTTAGTGTGGTCTAGTTATATTAATTTTTTCCAATACACATAATTTGTCTCATCATGAATGAGCCAGGGGGAAACTGACCTTTATCTCCTCCTCCAGAGTGAGGTTTCGCTCCAGGCAGAGCTCAACCATTTCATGAGTGACGGGGAACTTTTCTGGCAACGCTGTGCATTTTTTGATGATGACAGGATTGCAGCCATTCAGGAACTGGTATCCAAACATGAAGTCCTCCTGCCAGTGCTGCATGACATACTCTACAAAAGCAAGAAAAGATTTTCATGTTCCCCCCTAGTTTTGCATTTTGCCAAAAGGTACAGTAGATGATCAAGACGCTTTCAGCTGGGCCCTTTCAGGACTTATCTTATACCCCAACTACTTCAAGCAACACTGCAAGATACTGTATTTGCAAAAAAAACAGAGGAATAGCCACAAAACAATTAACAGCCGAACTAGAGGACATTTCGTTCTATCTTGTGAACAATTCTATATAGTTGCAGAATTAGTATGCTCTTTTAATTCAAATAATTCTTGACCATGAATCATCCATCCACCCACTTTCTAGCTTCTCATTTTCATCCCATTAAGGGTCATGGGGGAGCCGATTGCTATTCTGGCAAGCAGAAGCCTCAACGTGGGATACACCCCGGATGTGATGCCAGTCCATCGTAAGGCACACTCAGACACAAACATGCACACACCCACACCAGGGCCAGTTTGCATGGCAGTCAGAGATCTCAATCCCCACTGCCTGATATGTTAAGCACATAACTTGGGTTTGGACCAGCAGGTTCCAGGATGCAATGTTCGTTCTGCACTCTTCACCCAGAGAAACATTTTGATACCCCGTGGTGTTTCAGAGGTTTTCTCAACTGTGATAACTGTATCAGAACAAAGTACATTTCAGATCATGTTTTCTGTGATATGTATAGCATAGTGTTTTTACACATGTGGCAGCTTAGATTTGTTTTCTAGTTAGATCTTCAGTTACAAATACCGCAGTGATTGTACTGTAAGTGTTTTTATTTTGAAAGGGAAGCTATGATAGGACCTCTGCAACACAATGGAAAAGATCTGCCCTGAAACACATTTTGGTAGAAAGGGAGTGGAGGGCATTTTTATGTTATGCCTAAACAACATTTTCAACCAACGGCAAATCTTGTTATAAAGAAAGATATGAGAAAGCCCAGTATCAATTACCGCTATGTGCGCACATTTGCAATGCATATTGTAGATGGATTATTGCATTTCAAGTGCTGACACACAAACACAACTAATATAAATGATTGCATGAGAAAATAAAAGCATTGGAAGATCTTAATTTGGATAAAAAGCATTGTCATTTATTAAGAGTTGCCAGGCTAATTACTACTAAACACAATCATAACCTTGCTAATACTTTTTCCAAGGTATATCACAAGCAAAATCTTACCAACCTGAGATTGTGTTGCTAATCCTCACAAAGATCCGCTCAAAGTCAGCAAAGTCACTCCAAGAAGACTGGAACATATGCATGAACCGATTGACATAGAGGTTCTCAATCCTGGGGACAGGGATGGAGAAAGGGCTATCAGAGAACCTGGAACTGAAGTCACTACAAGTCACTGTCACTTTAATCTCTTAGTAATTTGATAACACTTTTAACATTTCCCTTCAAAGTTAAAGGGATAATGCTCCTTCCTGATACAAACCTAGTCGTAATGGAGTTTCAGCACTTCTGAAACTACGTGGTGCAGTGAAGTTCTGTATAGGTACTACAGTCATTCTTACTTAATGCATAACTGTTGCATCCTGTTGTAAAAGGTTAAGTTAAATTAATTTGATGTCAGAGTGCAGCCTAGCTGTTAGGGTGTTCACCTCTCTCTTTGATGCCTCAGCAGATTGCATTTGTATAAGGGAGTCACATATCACACTTGCTCTGTGCAGTGGCGGATAGCTGAGCTGATAAGAATGCAGATGAGGGTCTGTACATTTCTAAATAAAAATACGGTCAGAAATAGTTACTTCTTATTTCCAGACATACCACCAGTTCAGTTCCAGTAATAAAACTCCTCCATATCAAACTTAGTGCATCACACAGTTCAGAAATGATCCCACACCTATCATGACTAAAAACAAAATGTAAGCTTCTAAACACACTACATTCTGTACTGATTCATACTTTCAGTTACAACAGTAGACTAGTCATATTGTATGCAACAAATATGTATTAATAGTAGTAGTTCAGGTGGGTAGCTGCGTCAGCATGCGTAGGCTGCAAAGGAACAAGTAATAGGTTTATTCCATGCTGAAAAAAAGAAGAAAGAGAACACAACGTTTCGGCCGTGGAGCCTTCTTCTGGTGTCACCTGAAGAAGGCTCCATGGCTGAAACGTTGTGTTCTCTTTCTTCTTTTTTTCAGCATGGAATAAACCTATTACTTGTTCCAATAAGTATGAATGACCTTTTGCAGCTTTTATATAGTAAGCTCATACATACAGTAATGTTTGAATCAGGGTTGACCAACTGTGGGCTGGGTGAGAGACAATCCTGCAGGCTTCTTGGTTCACTCTCAAATCATATTTTCCTTAACACCTGGAACCATTTTGTTTTGCCCACTTAAATCAATGAATTGTGAAAATTCTAATTTGGAGATTATTAGGAATGAAAATATGAATATTGTGTAACTTTCAGTAACTACAACCAGTCACTCATGATTTAAACAAGTAAAGAAATTAATTCAATTGATTGAAACTCCCATATTGAGTACTTTCAGATAGACCCCACCATAAAAATGTACTACGTAATGGATGAATTTCACAGCACTATTCCTCCTAGAATATATATATATATAACACATTTAACAATAATATTAACCATGTTTTATGCTGTAAAAATATACGGAAAGTGCAGTTTAGCATTCTGTAGCATCTGTGAAAACCTATGCTCATATAAAAAATATCAAAGCAGATTTTCTAATAGACATGCACATTTCTAAATCATTCAAATAAACCGAAATATCTAAGTCCTCTACATGTACATGTGTACAAAATATGAAAATGAGAAAACAGAAAATATCTTCTTGTTGTTTCAGTTGTCATTTTCACTTTTTAAGGATTTTAAAGGCAGCTCAAATGTTCCTTCTTGCAGTTCAGTTTCTATGTTACATGTATGTGGTTTAAAAATGCTACAAACTTTGATGATAAAAAAAACCTAGAGGCTGTGAAACCAACTTCATTTCAGGGACACACCTAGTCTCCTAATTGATCGGAAAAGACTCGGCCTTAGGTGTAAAAAGAGCTGGAGTCCCTTCATGGATCTGAGCAGATTAAGCTGGTGTGATGATACTTACGCCTTTGTGTAGTTAAGGATGAAGTCTACTCCCTTCTCACTATCAAACTGAATGTCACGAGGAAGCTCTTTATGCGCATTGGCATCTATACTCATAGGGAAACCTGGGTGCCATTCTTTCCACCTTCAAAAGAGAACAGAATCACAGAATGTAGTCATTTAATTAACCAATAGGTCTGAACATGAGGGCATGTTCACTATAAAACCACATCAGAAGCAGAAACTAAAAAGGAAGCACGGACATTTGACTGAGAGAGAGTTTCTCCCTCTCTCAATGAAATGGTGAATCATTCCACAGCTGAGGTTTCCTGTGAGTTTCTTTTTATTTCAGTATTTTGAAAGAATTTGCATAGGCTATTCTTAGCTAACAGTTGAGGTACTTTATTAGATACTTCTAGTCTAGTGTCAGAGAAGAAGTGGGATATCATGATTCCTCTTCCAGACTGTAGTCATTCTCAGCGTGATCTGTAGCTGATGCTGATGCTGATGAACAGTGCAATCTGTCAGTACAATGTTCAAGATGTACTAATGTTTAAGTACCCTGCAAAACCTACAGTAAGTCACAAAGTCTGTCTTTATGGTGTGCCTTATAGTTGTTGCTCATTCTACACCACTAATGCCTCTTTACTTGACTTCTAGGCCACACAACAATATCAGGGATCAGAGGTCTTCATTCCTACTATTTGTCACAATATTCTTGCTCACCTGAAATTGAGGGGGATTGAACACAACAAATGACATTTTACATATATGGTTCATCATGTATACACAAAAATATCCAGAAATAAGTTAACATTCTGAATTTTTATCTCCCTATCTTTGGACCTGAAATACAACTTTTTATTACCATTGGATCTAAATCACTTTGACCCATTTTAGGCTATTATTTGTCAGAAAAGCAACGTCAACAAATGTTTTAACCTAATCACTGAAAAGACAGAGCAAATAAATTTTTCTTTGTGGCTGAACTGGTGAAGCCCTTCAATATTTCTCTGCTGCAAGGGAAATGTTCACCTCTATAAAATAAATATAATAATGAAATTAATAAAATAAAAAAATATGTTTTAGGATTTAACAGGATCCAAAATAGTATAGTATTTAGTACTGACACTGATTATGTATGAGAACGGAGAGCTGTAAAGTGTTACAGAAAGATGAAACCAGTATTCCACACATCTCTATTTAACATTGAGGGATTACATTAAATCCTTGACTTCTTGTTCTTACTGTAACAAAAACTTAAAGGAGATATTAAGAATTTTGCAGTAAATTCCAGTATTGCGTGGCAATTTTGCAAAAATAAGTTTCATCTTTTGAAATGTGAAGTGCTTGGTTTATGGTTAAATGTTCTTCCTGTTAACCTACAAATTCACAATTTACATTCACTCGCATCTTTTATTAATGCACACAAGACATTTGTGGGTTCTGCTTCAATGTTCAATAAGACAAACTCATCAGCACAACAACCCCCAAAGCTTTTAACTAACTTAAAAAGATATTTCTTAGGTTTTGCAAATGGCAATGCAGCAAAATGAGAGGAGGAGCCATTCAGCCCATCTACTGTAGCTCATGTGGTAGTTAGTAGCTCACTGATCCATGGATCTCATCCAGCTGTTTCTTGAAACATAGCTGGATAGCTGGCTCCACACTCCCACAGTCCTTTGGGTTAAGAAGCGCCTCCTGTTCTCAGTTTTAAATGCCCTTCCAGGTCGTGTCCATTTGTGTCCTTTGGTTTGTGTTTCACTGTTAATTTTGAAGGACTGGCTGTCAATGCCCTTGATGATTATGCATGGTTGTATCAAGTCCCCTCAGAGCCTGTGTTTGTCTTAATAGTAATGTGTTAATACCCTAAGCAATTTAATTGCTTCTTGTTCTTTTGCGATGAGTAATCATTTACAAAACACACCCTAACTAAAATTGGAGTTCTTCTTTAGCTTTGCTATGCAAAGTTGCATCATTATCCTATGCAATCTATCCATAAATATTTCACATGAGCATAAAAAGAATTGCTGCTTATTTGGCTATTCATATTGTTTAGAGCGTAACCTCTGTAAAGGACCTTCAATAATCAAAATGGATTTATATGCAATAAACAACCAATAATTGCTAATAATTATTAAAGGGACTTTGCTGTTGCTTTGCATTGCATTGTCTGATGCATATCTTACATATAATGTGATGCAAGATTGTCTGCATTTTCTTCTTAGATTATTTTTCTGGCAATTTCCTGACTCCGCAGAAATTGCTTCCGAAATGAGCTTCTGGTTGCTTGGATATGCATGAGGGAGGCAAAGTACTCTTGCACAGCTCGTGAAACATCAGGCAGGGACGTCCAAGTCTGTGAGCCTTTATTCCAGCTCAACCCTTGCAACCAGCTGGTTTACTGGATGTACAGGACCGATTTCAAATCAAATCAAAGTGTATTTATCAAATGCACAACAATGCAGCGTGCAGCAGTAGTTGCTGGCAATGAAATGTCTGTAACAGCATTTAACAGCATCTCCCAGCTCTCCCGGTGTTGCTAATTTAAAGAGACCTTGAAAACCAACAGACAGATAGGCTAGCCAGAACTAGGACTGGACACTCCTGGATTAGGCCCTTTCTCTTGGGAAAGGTCTAATCCACTGTGCCATGTAATTTCCTGCCATTCACCTGTGAGTGGCCTTTCATAGAATTTATTAAAGCAAATGCAGAGACAACATCAGAGCGTCATGCAAAATATCATGGGAAATACTCATATGGTTTAGGTAATGAAATAATTAAATGTAGATGATTCGAGTTACTGCTTTAATGTTTCTAGTTTTAAATCTTCAGAATTTCAATTATAAAAAAATGACTTATTTCAACAGCGAGACACATGCCAATTAAATGTTTTTAAGCTTGTTAAAAGTGGGTTACCTTCCTGGTATCCTTTAGCAAACATCTTCACCTACATCTAAACAGCTACAATAGTTTGACTGTGATCTGTGGTTTAGAGTTCAATATCTGGAATCACTCATATTTTACGTCGCAGTACGCTTATCTGTCCTCAGATGAAGATTTGAAGTTTCCCTTCAAGGTCATGAGCTGCTAAATAGCAGCTTTCAATGTGAAAGCATAACAAATAATTAACTTTAGATGCACAAAAAGAAGAGCTTGCAGTTAATGCAGTCTTTGCAGATTTGTTCAAATGTTAAGAGTCTATTTACTCTTCCATGCTGGATAATTGGGTATGTCATTTGGTGAGAACGGGTGAAAGAGCCATCGTTGTTTATGTTCAAGTATTTTAAACATCTTCAAATTTTAAATACTGTTTATAGTCAAAACACCATATCAGAACTCTTTAACAAGAAAGAATAACGACTTCAACTAATAATAATCATAATGAGACAAGTAAATGGAACTGTTTAAAGCTACAATTCTATTGCATTGAAAGAATCCAAAAGCTCATTTTTTCTTAGAAAAACACATTGCAGTTTTGGCGGGAGTAAAAGGGGTATTTTGTATAATGGGATGCTTTTCTGGTGTATCTTATTTTTAGTTAACTTAAAGAATATTAGCCTTATGTTGAGCTTGACTGGAGCAGTAAGAACCTTTGATGCTCATCTTCCAGAAACCAACTTTAAGGTCAGTGCTCACTGTGAAAGGAAAAGCTGTTGAAGTCCTACCTGTACAACTTTTGTCTCGTTTCAAGTTCTTTGCGTCTGTGCTGTTTGGCCAGCCTTGTTTTATCGTTCTGGGGTAATCGTGCTGCCAACAGAGAAGAAATAAAATTAAAATGAGCAAAACGTTGGCTTTCCTTTTTACCATTACACAGCTTCAGTGACATAGTGAAAGCACTCGTGTCAAAATGTTAGTTATAAAATTTAAAACTGAAATACAGAAACATTGCACTGCTCTTGCGTATCTGATTTTCTTTACAAGCTATTCTGTAAGACTTTTTTTACTGGTAAAAGTATGCATTTTTCTGGGTCTCCCACTTGGCAGTCAATGGAGTTTAAGTGAAGGCTGCTGGATGTGCTCATGAATCATCAGCTTCTTCGAATCTCAGCAATAGTGCTTGTTATATTAGAATTGTTTTACACTAGTAATACAAATATGTAGCTGTGTCAATATGCGTAGGCTGCAAAGGAACACGTAAAGGTTTATTCCATGCTGAAAAGAGAAGAAAAGAAACACAATGTTTCATCTGTGGAGCCTTCTTCAGGCTATAGTATAGTGTAGTTTTACACGATACACAATTACGTCATATACTGTCTTGTTCCTGCATTTCACGTGATCAACACAAGGCCACAGTTTAAAAAAAAAAAGCTTCTGTCCTAACTTTTAAAGTTGAGCAACAGATAGCTCTATTTATGGTTTGCCCCATTTTAATACCTGCTGTTTCATCTGCCACGAAATCCTGCTTTTTTCTGTTTGCATCTAAAGCCTTCCTGCTTCATTTTACAATCCCTTTCATTGTGCAGGACTGCATTTTTCGATTAATTATGTTTTCCTATTACTATTGGAATGCATGTGCCCACCTTTTCCATCTCTAAGGACGATCTCTTTGTCATCGGTAACCCATCTGTAGCAGGGGAACTCCACGTACTCCCCACCTGGGGTTTTGACAGTGATGTATTTGCAATACCAGTCATCGTGCACCCAGTACTTCCGTTTCTCAATCTTTACCAGCTGAATTTCACCCAGGTCCTCTGTCACATTCACATCGTAGGAATCAACCTGGGAAGCAAGAAAAAAGAACTAAGTTGAGGTCTTGAGTTATATGGAGTTTCATGAGTCCGCCACCGAGACATAACGCGAAATAAACAAATTACCCAGACCTTCTATTGGTTTGGCTTGTGGAATCCATGCTTTTAAGGTAGCAGCTTGTCATGAACAATATGGATAGACAACATGACCTCTTTATGTGTGGCCACTGATACGCTTTTTTTGCGAAATAGAAGATAGTGGCAAAATTACGTTACCAATCACCTTGTCATAAGCACTATTTTATTTTCCCAACTTTCAATCCCCCCCGCCATTAGGATTCAGAGAACAACAATTTGCTGAATCCATAAAATGTCATCACAAATCCAATGCGGCTCCCAAACGATGTGACCAGCAGCTGTAATGTCCCATGGCTAAATCCCCTGGGTTTTCATCTTGTAGTGTGGATTTTATAGGTATCTGTGTTGCATCTTCCTATGATGTTTGACTTTATTGGCCATATTCAATTTTCTTGTATTAGGAATTTTGTCTTTTATCGCATAGCCCAACTTGCTCTCCATGAGACACACAGCCGGGGAGAGAGAAGCTTGGGGTCAGAGCACAGGGTCAGCCATTTATACGGCGCCCCTGGAGCAGTTGGGGTTAAGGGCCTTGCTCAGGGGCCCAACGGAGTAGGATTCCTCTGCCGGCCGCAGGATTTGAACCGGAAACCTTCCAGCCACAGGCGCAGATCCTTAGCCACAGAGACACCGCACCGCCGGGAAGTCAGTTAATAAAGACAATTTATCATTTTTTATACCTTTCATGTTTTGGAATTACCATAATGTTATACAAAACTATAATTGTGCATTCTATAACAATGTATGATATTTCAACAATGTAAAACCAGTTTACAAATATAAAATGCTTCAGAATATGACATGCCAGTACAGCTGTTTTAGAAACAGTCCTCTAGGTTTACTCTCCCTTTGGAAATAGTTCAGGAGTGCCCCCAGGAAAAATCAGTCACACTGCACCAAGAAAGGAGCTATTGCACATTTCAAAATATTTTCTTAGTGAACCCTGCTGAACAGCAATATCTTATGAAATGTAGTGTAAATTACTTAACTGCAATAAACCGTGATTGTAATGCATGGTAAAAAGCAATTCTGTTATTCCCTGCTATATACTGTAGTGCATTCTGTTTTATCTGGGTACTGATTTGTAATGCAAACACAGAGGAATTGATCAGCAATGCAAAGATAATACCAGGTTAAGCAAAATACTGTATGATATAAAAAGTTATGATATATGTGTGGATTTGATACTGACTTTTATCTTCAATCTAAGGTATGTATCAGGAAATCAAGATAAAAGGACAGATCTATCACCAAGAGAACAATGCAGTTCATCCTGGTAAAATTATTAGCTTCGTTATCTCACTGCATTTCCTGGGGGCAAAACTCTTTTAAGAGATGCCAAACTGACCTTCCTTTGAGTGTAACTATCTCATGCACAATGGTGCCTTAACACCATTATGCTACATTATTAAAATTAGGAAGCAAGGGTATAAATAGCAAGTCATAAGACTAACAGAATTCTTGCCATAGGTAAATGCATTGAATTAGCGATTAGTGTATTTAGAAAAATTTAACAAGGCCATGATGCTTATTCTTTCAGAATGCAGCATTCAAAACTGACAAAAGCAATGAAAGTCTGCAATATCTTTCAGAAATGTGATTCATTCCTCACAATTCTAACAGGTTGGAAAAAGGTTTGCCAAGAAATGTTCAACTTCTGACTTTTTTAGAACCTCGGCATAAATACTGAAAATATCAATGAAATGCATGTCATGAAATGAAGAGTTCTCCATCTATATTTTAACAACTATAATTATCATTTCTGAATATTGTTTTATTAACAATTATCAATTTGGTTGTTTTTATCCTTGACATTTATACTTTTCCATTTTGTGTTTAATGTCTCCCTGAACAATTCTAGAGTGCCAATGTACTTTTTCTTGCAATGCAGTGAAGCCCTAACTTTTTAAAGTCCTAAGAAGTGACAGATAAGAAGTAGCAACACTCACCACTGTCACTGTCGCTGTGGTTATGAATGGTATCCTCTTTTCAAATTTAAAAATGTTTCATCACCATTCTGTACTTTCGGCAACATCCAATTTTATCCTGCTTGGCTTTGCACATTACTGCTGACAGACTGATTTCCCCTTTTCTCAGTGCACATATCTCTTTTTGGTTTCAAAGGACCCCAGCCAAGGCATGTTTTTGAGTTGCGTTCGTGCTTAGCTAAATTTTCTATCTTAGTAAATGAGCACATTAATCTGTGATAATGTATCAGTCGTATGATATGGCCTGGCATATACACACATATATGAATCATGGTGTTACTCTGCTCACTTAATGGCAACATTTATATTCTGGAGCATGTACAGTATGTGTTTTGTTTACATGTTTGTTCTTAGTTGTTTAACAGTTATCAGTAAATTTAAAAAATGTATGAAGGTCTAGGATTTATTTCCCCGAGCCTTTAGGGAGCGAGCAAGTTCCATACTGTATGTTCTGTGCACTGCAAACAGGTGTCATGTGAAGCTAGGTTTTGTAACTGCGTATACTTTTAACAAAGGGGGAATTCAAGTATTTTAAGCTTTGAAAGAAAATAGTCTCATTTAAAAGCTGATCTAAGAATTTCATTTTTTTTTATAATAAGCAAATAATGTCACATGAAAAACAAGCCTAAATGCACTTTTGCTTTAGCACACAAATAGCCAGTAGCGATTCTAATGCACGATATAAGCCCCAAGTATCTTGGCTTAGTTTACTGTCTTTGAGTTTTAGTAGCTGTCACTTGTTAAACTTTGCTAAAGGTTTGTAATAATATTTTCACTATAAACAGCTAGAAAGAAATGTAAAACTGATAAATGAACACTTACAGCTCCTCTTTCAAAGTCATTATAGAGTGGTTTATCCAGCAAAGTCTTCTCGCTGCATCCTTCAGTTCCCACAAGAGTCAGATAAATATAATCATCTGTACCAGCAAACCACTGGCTACCGGTTGCCACAGTCACAGTGTAGGAAGGCATCACAAAATCGAAATGAAAGTCACTCTCTCAGTGGAGACTATTTCAGACAGACTCAATATTTGGGGTTTTAAACTGACCACCTCTATTCCCCTGAAGCTGTCTAATTGACTGTGCTGTCTAGTACAAATGATTTCCCCTTTTCTTCAGAGAAACTATCTTACTCTCTCCCTCCCTCTCTCTCTTCCTCCCTTCACCACTCTCTCTCCCTCTTTTTTGCATTGAAACCACAGGTCATGCAAATAGATGATGGTCTGATAAAATTGCGCTGTACTCTGATGCATGTATACAGACCTAGAACCCACTGGTGCTAATGCTATTCTTAAAAGCGAATGTCAAATATACAGCTCACCAAGATAGCAGCATCATTGTGATTGCCACGAAACCCAATGTTCAGTCTCACCAACAGCACACAGGATGCAAAAAGTTGTAGTTATCAGGATACAAAGAAGATCTGCATCTCTACACTCATGCATGGAATAGTTTGCCCCATGTTGTTAACTACCCACTGGTAACAGGTTCTTCTCAACTAATGAACCCAGACTTTGCATTGAAATATTTTAATAGCGTACCCATGAGAAGACAATATATACTGTATATATATATCACTAGAAATACTACTTTTTGTGTAAAATCCCAGCACTTGTTACTTAGTATCGCCACTAAAATATATATACAGAGAGAGAGGTGTTCCAAGTAGCAGTTGATGGAATTTCCGTATCTAAGCCACACTGGTACATCAGGGCTTATCCTGGTTTTCAAAGCGTTAAATGGTTGGGAGTACATGGCTGTTAACAGGATCGGCCAAGTCAGAAATGGTCAACTGTGGTCCTTGAGAACTATTAGATGTTATTGTTTTCACTGCAAGTGATCTCTAAAGTAATGTAATATAATACATGGAATAGGTGTGAATAGATGATCAGCTTATTTAAATACCGGAAATACTGTGACTAAGTTGTCCAAGTTAGGAAACTGCAAACACCAATTTTCTTGGACAATCGAAGGCACCCTGACCATACTTTCTGTAAAGTACAAATGGAAACATTTTGTAGATCAACATTTTCAAAATAATTTTATATATCGTTTTTTTTTAATCTTTTTAGACTTTTAACACTTTTCAGAAAAAGTAGCAATCTAATGAAGTACAGTGGGGAAAAAAAGGTTGATCAAAGCTTTTTATTCAATGTCACATTTAAATACAATCATGTCTGGACTGCTTGGACAGATGAAAGCGATTCACAGAAGAGATTCCTAGACCTTACAACAGTTGTTTTTTTAATCATAATTGCTAAATTAAATAATAAATTAATTATTTTAGAGAAACCCATTCGATTTGGAGTAGCCAATTGTGCGCTTTTCACATCTCACATCGGCTTTCAGGCACAAACCCCACAACCGCACACGGGGAATGAGGAAGTGTAGGCAGAGCTGTCCAACTTGCTGGTCGTGGCACCGCAGCCCAGTAACAGAGGTTCAGCAATGACTTGGCGGAGAAACTCGTCCAGTATGAGATGGTATAAAATATCAGAGATGGTGCCAGGTGCCAATGGCCTAGTATGTGTTAGGAAGACTGATCGTCTCCCACCCTGTTTTTGACAATGGCCTCAGCCATGTTCCAGCTAGTTAGACACCATGAAGACAAAAGCTGGCTCCCTACTGCATTCACCATAGCAGGCCACTTGAGTGAATCCTGGCCAGATTGATCCCACAAGACCCTCAGTGGCACTTGGCCAGTTGCCCACCAGCACTTAAGGAAGGCTGGTCACTTTTGGATAGTGACACAAGCCTGCCTAGAACATTCTAGAGCGCAACAAGCACTGGGGAGGAGTGTCTTTAATGGAGAAGCCACTTCTGAGGCCAGTCATGTTTTTGGAAATAATGTTACAATATTTAATGTATAACATACCACACTACAAATATATACACTCCTGTTTTCACACAATCCAAAAGCCTGATATAGTAATGCCATTTTCTTTTCAGAAAACACCAGTACATAGTGGTTCACACATACTGTACATACATCAAATTTGTGACATAGGTCAGAAAGGAACACATCTAAATAGTATTGTTTCATAACAGAGAACAGAGATAAGTATTTCATTTGAGAAAGTCATAAGCTGTAAAGGATACTCAATTATGTGAACATGCTTTGATTGAACATTAGAAAACAAGTGGAGTTTTGCTACTGTGGTTACAGATACAACTAAGCTCATATTGCATTTAAAAAAAGACAAAGAATGTCTTCAAAATCAATATGCTCCTTTAGAAAAGAAGAATAATCAAGGACTGCAATAAAATCTATATTTAACCGCTACTCTTACACCTCATGATTTGGAAAATAGTGCAAAGAAATACCAATACTGTCCTCTAGTGGGCAACAAGAATATCATCCTAAGGTAAAAACAGTGACTTCTCCATTACAGATAAAAAAAATCTGTGAAAAGTGTTGTGTTCACTCAGCTGAAGCAAGCCTCTAACAAGAAAATGCTGATCATAAAATACTTAAACTGTAATATGTGATTGTTTTTAGTTTAATTTATTTATTTACTTATTTGTAATATGTGATTGTTTTTAGTTTAATTTATTTTATTTACTAATTTCCATAGTATACTAGTCACTTTTCACCAACATTAAATTGATAAATCACTCAATAAAAGTTAATTTGAAGCTCACTATATAACAGTACAATATCATTGTGATGACACCTGTAATTGAATCCTGAGCCTATAGCTATCCTTAAGCACTTTGTATTGTTCGTTAGAATGTTGTTCGTCATAGTATGGAAAAGACAGAACTGTTCTATGGAAATATATTCTATAAACCTTTCCGTACAGGACAATGTAATATCTTCAAACTTTGAAAAACTGATTATGCTGTATAAGACTATAGCCAAACGGTGCTGACACCTTCCGATTTACATTAATTTATTAACTTACAGTTTTTGAAGGTGTCTTTGGTCTGGGGTATTAATGTTTTCCATGCCTTGATTTAAGCACAGAATTCTTGAGGAAGGACAGAAATCAATGTTTCATTTAACAATACAAATATTACTCAGACAAGTAAGGCTATCTGGGCTTAATGTGACTGAAAGGACAAAATATGTATAGCTTTTATGTGTAAATAAAATATTAATTACAGTTACAAAGTCATGGCAATTCACATGAAATATCTATGTAAACAGTTAACTGTTACTTTGCTCAGGTTTTGCAAAGGCAAGTAATCTTACTAATCTAAAAGTAGTCAGACATCAGTCTGTATTTTCTGTCAATTAATGATTGAGACCACTGCTCCTGTTTCAAGTGTCTGTAGTTTGTTTCTGAAAGACATATCAGCTGTAGCACAAAAGATATAAACAAATGGGAAAATAAACGAGGTTTTAAAGGAGTGACCACAGAAGGCACTAAAACAGTGTCCCATTAAATAAGTCTTACACAGAAGTAAAAGACATTAACAGGCAATGAATCCAGTGTTGGGTCTGTTGGTGTAAAACATTATTACATTTGGAGATGAAAAAATAAATAAATTGGAACACTGAAACTTTACTAATACCAGATTTTTTTATCATTGATTGCATATGCCAGTTTTGACTTTGTTTCCACTTTGAATGGTGTTTCTTGCTTATACAAAAATAAATAGGGAAGGGAAAAAGGTTGAAGTAAAATCCCACATCTGCAAAAACTTATCAGTTACCTACAGTGTAAGTCCAGCTGTGCTCTTCAAAACAGGGCAGGTGTGCCTGGTACCCAGTGGTTCTAAAGCTGCATTCGATAGTGTAAGAACAGTTGTTCTGCTTTGTTGAAAGAAATTAGTACATGTTTTCTCCATGTTTGTAAGAGCCAGTGCTCAGTTGAGGTGCAGTATTTGTTTCATGAGCTCATACGTGGTGAAGGCCACTGCCTGAGAGGGCACACAGCGAATGTAGTTCAGTGACAGGCCACGGTACAGTCCTCTTTTAATTCCATATTGTTTGTACACGTGCTTTAGGGTGTTGGTCAAAGTACTGGAAAAGACAAAACAGGTCTCAGTTTCAGAGCAACTCGCTTCCTGTCCCTTGTATCAAATGCATCACAGGAACAGAAAACAACTGTATGTTGTGTACAAAGTAAATCATACATTTTGCTTTCTCGTTTTTCTGCGGGTGTGTGATGGTATTCCCATTTTATCATTGGAGGTTAAAGATACACGTTAATTGGAAAAACATGCCAGGCAGCAACAGCACAGGTGCAGGAAAAAGCTCTGAAATCAACATAACTGCAGTGAAAGAAACGTGAACCTGTCTTTTGATTTGTAATTATTGTCAACTTCTGAATGCCAGAATTTCAACCAGTGAACTGCACACAAAGAATTATTGTACAAGACTAATAAAGTACAATATAATATATTACAAATGCATGAAAGATAGAGGCTACTTACAGACATTTGTCAGAATCAGGGAGGACTATTCCCAACTGCATCCTACGGCGAACCACATCCAGGGGATACCTACAAAAGATGTCTGGTTAAAGACAAGCGTGTTCTGAAATAATGCATGTCTGCCTCCAGGCAAAGCTGCATCCGTGTTGCACTTAGTACATACAGTAGGTTGTACTCTGGCTGTATCTCTAACACAAACAGGAAGTAAACCCACTACCTCCTCTCCTGTATCCTAGTTTTCTGCCTGAAGTTTTCGTAACACCCCAGCCTACACAGTTCTACAAAAGATGCCAAAACTACACAACAGAGCAAAGATGAAGCGCAAGACTCACGAGATTGTCTGTGCTATGGCTCCGGCTATCCCCCCACAGAGAAGGTTCACGTGCGTTTTCAAAACCAAGACATCGGGGTTGTCCAAGGATGGTTTTCCCAAGAGCTCTGGAGCATGGATGAGTCCCAAGCTTTTCAGCGTGCCAAAGGTGAAAAAGGAGAAGCCTGGAGACGAAATGGCATTACAGAAAGAGTTGGCTTCTAAGCTCTGACGGTCCCCGCTGTAACTCCAAATATGAAAATACTCACGCTCACCTGCGTAAGGGGCCATGCCTATAATAGTAGGTGTTAGACCTCTGTAAAACCCTAAGACACCCCCTTCCTTCAAAAAAAAAATAACACATTCACGTTTCAACAAATCATCATCAAGTGTCTAACCTGTTCCAGTGTGAAAGGCAACGAGACACAGCGTGACCTTCAACAAGTTCAAAATGTCTATCTTGTAAATACAAAGGGTCATACACAACACGTAGGCACTGTTTCCTACAGAGAACACATGATGTTTCATGTTATACTTGCTTTTTGCATGACTAAGGTAAAGTACTGAAGCTCCAAAGTTTTAAATGACTGGATATACTAGAGACAGGACACAGATAAGCTCAAAACATTTGAAACGCCAGTGCCACTCAACTAATCCTAAAAAAGGTGCTTTGTGTAGCACATTTTATTACCCCTTTTTACATTTATTACCTGTTTGTAGATGGTCTGGAAAGCGTGGGCGATTCCAGTGTACCTGTGCTCCCCCTTTACCTGAAAGGCAAGTCGGGCTCGGACGACATCCAGTGGGTAAGTGCAAATAACTGCTGTCATGCCTGCAGCGCATTACAGAAAAGAATGATTAAAAGACACAGAAATATGCTTACAGGCATGTAACAGAGATAGAAATGTACTTTAAAGTCAGTCTCTTTGTGAGATGACTTGGAAACAACACTCACTATGCCATGTTATTCTAATTCAAAAAGAGCATGGTGACGCAATAACATCTCCACTCAACAGTTCTCATTAAGTGAAAAGATCAGAATCGAACCAGGTGACTTGAGTCCAAAAGGTTCTCACTCACGCACATGCAGAGGACAGCACTTGAATAAAATTGAACACAGAACTTTTTTACCTGCCAGAGATCCCGCCATTAACCGATGAACGTGTCCTGAGATGCCTAACTTTTTTCTCAGAAACTGTGGAAAATCAAATTATGCATTTGTTGTGAATGTCGTTGTGGACAAATATTTAAAATGTTTCATTAAATTAAAAAAAAAACAGATAATTATCCTTTCATATTTATTAGATTAAAGTTATAAAGCTAATTGTTTTTCCATCAAATCAGTGCTAATCCATCATACAAAATAGTACTGTGACAAAAGCATCAGTACTATAACTACATACCTGTTTGTAATGGTCAAAGGCCATGAACTGAATGGCTCCATAAGGAAATATTCTGACCATCATAGCTCCATTTCCTTTGTATAAGCCAAGGAACCCCTCTTTCTTTGGCACAGCACAAAGCGTCTCAAATACTCCTGAGCAAGACAGTCAGACACAGTCTTCGAATAAGATCAATACATTTATCATTGCAAAACACTACATACGATATTGATATTGCAACGTAACTGTTAATAGTCCCTTTTTAGAGTTGCATTTAGGATTTTATTATGCATGGCTTCTTGAACACAATAACCTTAACCAATATTTTAACAAATGAGAGCTTACATTTGTCTCTAAAAAATTTCCACAACTTTGGCGAATCAGGTGTACTCTTACTGCAGTGATCATCAACACAACACAACACAACACAACACAGTGATTTAGGTCTAATTTGTAGACGCAGTGTTTGACAACAGAAGTTGCTCTACTGTCAGTCTTATGTAGTAAAGTCATATAAACATCATAAAAAGAAGTTACATTCTTTGCTAAAAGCATTATGAAATTTTAGGCATGCAACCTAGTTTCTGGAAATTAATTTGCAGGGACTAGTAAGGCTACATGAGCTCAACAACATATCCTATAGATCTGAGATTAACTGAGTACAGTCATGCAGTTCAGACACTGCCTTCAGATATTCTAGAAAAAAAAAACTATATACAAAGGAGTCATCTAAGGACCTGCCAGAGTTCTGTCAGTACAAGTGAATTTGAATGCCAGGTGTGAAAAAAGGCCCCATGGTATTTACAGCTGTTACCTCACAGCTCCTGGTCTCTGGATTCAGTTCCAGACTGGGATTGGGAGTTTTCCTGTTCCCACACATCTTTTTGTGAGGGTTTTCACCAGGTGCTCTGGCTCAGGTTGGGTTAAACTAGTGTTCCTTCACTGTGTCTAGTGTGCTTGTGCGTGACTCTGTAAGGGCACTATGGTCGGCCTGTCATCCTACCCAGGGCAAAGTACTTTCATAGAACTCAGGAAGGGCTCTCAGTTGTCACAAATCATACCAAGAATAAGCAGCTTTCTGATAATGGATTGGTGGATAACAATTTGCTGACATACAAGACAGGTTCATTTTGTATGTTGCCCTGAATAACAACAGTGCTAAAAAAACTGATCTTAAAATGAACTACACATTCTCTTTAGATCTTAATCGACAAAAATTCCAATGTGCCGTTAAGTCATCGGATAATCACTCACCTAGATGTTTATAGTGAGGGTTCTGAGCTTGTAATAAAATTTTCACTCTGTCAAGAGGCGCGATGGTTGTTTTGGCACAGCATCCTGCTACACCTGTGGACATTATGGAGTAGAAAAACATCTAATGTTAAAATTGTATAATATATATTAAAAATAGAGAAAAGAAAATATAGTAGTCATAAAAATTAAAGACCAAATATTAAATTCCAAATATCAACAGTGAGTTGTGTAGTGTCAAACAAATGACAAAGTTCAGGTGTCTGTGAACCAGAAGTCTCTTTATTCATATGCATATGGAAGTCCGGCAACCACCAGACTTAAAAAATAAGTAGCTGAAGATGGTCCTTTATACCTTAAAACAAATGGAGTTACTATTACACATTCTAAACAAACGATAAGACAGCAACACATGCCAATTAATTATATCTAAGTTGCAGACTAGACAACAGTTAGTTCTTTTCATGTTCTGGGAGTACAGCCAGCTTACCACATAAATGCCCTTATCTTACTGACCAAGGACAGGCAGCATCTTTATATACATTTGAGCACAAAGCCTACTTCAAGCCACTAGACTGCATAGTTTCCAAAAAAAAAAACCTACAAAAACAAGAAATTATATTATCATCTCACTTCCCGGGCAGCTCTCTTATCTTCTTCAGTTGTCTTAACAGTCTAATATCTACAACAACATCCAGAGATCACTTCAACTGTTGGATAAACATTTGCAACAAATGCTGGGAAAAAAAATCAATCTGGATCCTACAATATAAATCTGCTGTGGTAAAGACATTTTTGGTCTCTAATAATGTCTTAATTTTCTCGTTTTCTGCAACGAGGAATACCCTGAGAAATACGATGCGCGGAGGAGGCAGAACAGAGCAGCCTTGAATTCCAGCCCTGCGGTATACGTGCACACAGCTGTGACTAACCTCATGCTCAAGCTCCTCACTTCAAAACTTTCTAGACCTCTTGCTTCGGATATTTAGACTTTTTTTCAGATATTTTTTAGATTTACACATCTTTTCAGATTTTAAAAACACATGCACTTCTCCCTCTATATAGGTGCATTTTGTGCATTTATACAATTTGCAGGGCAGATTTTTGCATGCTAGATTTTTGCATGCTGACATGTGACAGCCAATATGAGGCTTTTCTTTTTCTGCCGGCCGCGGGATACGAACCAGCAATCTTCCGGCCACAGGCCCAGGTCCTTAGCCACAGAGTCACCGCACCGCCCCAATTTATTTGAATTTTATGACACCATAAACTGTATCACAGTCATTTTCTCATCAACTTCTTCACTTATTATATTACAATCATCAGATCCCAAAATTTAAACTTTTGTAATAGTGCTGCGACTGATTTTCACTTGATGATTATCAGTATTTAGGTAGTTAAATCATCAGTAACCTTCTGTTTTGTGCGTAAGCACCTACAGAAGACACTAGTTCATTGCAGGGCCAAAGAGAAAAGGACTAAGAATAGCCAATCAAACCTGGTCTGCGTGTCTTCAGGTGGGAGAAAACCTTGGAGAACACTGCAATCACAGTGAAAACATGCAAACCCCACACGTAACGCTGCCGCCTGCTATACCCTGCAGAAATATTAATAATATAAGAAAAATAAATTATTTTACCTCCTGAAATGAAGGAGCGGATCCAGTAATAGTCTGTCCGAGCCGGGCTGGGCAGCCCAGACTGGGCTGTGGCTGAAACGGATGCCTCAGTAGTCATTGCTGCAATAGTTCAGGATGTACAGAGATCCATGTCCTCCACAATTCCTAAAGCGACAACAGCAAAAGACATTCCACTTCTGCCAAACAGACTGCGGCTGAATGAGCCAACATCTGTACTTGTAAAGACTGACTTTGTAGCATCTTCTCAAAAATAATCATAGGTCACTGATAAGTGCAGAGGATTTGAGAAATATGGTTCAGTGAGGCCAATCTGGAAAAAAAATGCAACCTTCACAGGACCTTATCTAAGTACAAATACACATGACAAGATTGTGGCCTTGTTGTTCATATTTTTTCATACTTTGGCAACCAATACAAGCTCTCCTCGCTTTAAAATAATCAGATTCAAAGTACACCGTATTATACTTGTGAGGAGACAAGTAAAGTTGCTGAATTGCTGAAGGGTACTGTGTGGTGTGTTGAACATATTGTACACCTCTCCGCTGCAGCAGAAATTCTTATGGCTCAGCTCCACTCTTCAAAAGCCTGTGCTTAGATAACAGACCACAAATCTCTGATAATGTTTCAGGCCGCATACTAAAAATGTTTTGAGTGAAATTGCTGGTTTAGTGTCTTTAACTAGTTTCTACAGGATTGCAATGACTTTTACCATTGTTTTATTCTGTATTTTTTTCTGTGGAGTTACTCAGTTTTACCTTGGTAATGGTTAACATGTTTAGAGAAGTGTCTGCGGTAAGACAGATATCATAAAATTGGATTTCACTGTAAATTCATGGATCCATACTGTATTACCTGATCTGTAACCAGTTACTCAATTTCAACCCGTTTGCTTTTCGAGAATCTCTGCTTACATGTATATATATATACACACACAACACTGCTCTAAGAATACGTAAGGCGAAAATAAAATGTGAAGTGCCAGTTCGTTTCATTTTTGTGCAATAATGCATGCAACGTTAGCCATGTCGTCTCGTAAATACTTGTACTACACTGGTCCGATGTAAGCAATCATTTTATACGTAGATTGCTGCATGCTCGATCACAATCACGAATGGCCTGGACAAAATGCAGAACTTAAGAAAAATAGAGCGTACCGTTTTCCAAAGACAGTTTTCCTGTAATACTGCTGAGATATATACCAAATGCCAGTGCCGTACGGTACACCTCTTCGTTGCTGTAGCTGTGCAACGCAAGGTCAGTTCTCAACAACACGAAGTTACACAACGTGTTACCTTCTTCCTCTTTCTGTGCATCGTCACAAACTAGGGATAGCAATATAAGCAGGTCGTTTATGAACCCATTCCGCTGATCTATTGTAAACTCCGTCCTATCCTAGTCTTTTTAAATAAATACCATGTGAGTTTCACAAACAGCTATATGCCCTTCGTTCGTCAAGTCGCATTTTTAATGCGCAACTACGGTTTCCGTTTTCATTTCCGCAAAGCATGAGAGGAAACGCCGAAAGCAACGTGAGAGCTTTAATTGTTTGAATTTTTGTAACTGGTATTTTTAACATATGAACTCTAGACTAGTGTTTTAGCACAGCTATTTTAATCATAGCGTTTTGTCTTCATTTTTCTGAAGATGTTAATCATTTACCGCCTTTCTGCTTAGAAAGTCCGAAATCGTGATTGCTGGAGGATAGCCCATATCAAGCTGACACCGTATCTGTCATAACACCGTCACAATGATGGCGAGTTAGTCATTTTTAACAAGGACAGCAGTTCATTCACGTCCGTTCCTTTTCAATCAAACAAAAAAAAAACACAGAAAAATCTTCTGTTCATTTTTCTCCGAACCTTTTCTGACCTTTTGACATTTTTCGACTTTCATAAACTGATATTTTTTCATCGAATCACCTTGAAATAACCCAATTTTGGAAAGATGATAGAGTGTACTTTATTAAGACCCAAGACTTTACTAACTAGCCCCACGGAAGGCGATTCTGTACTTACTGTTTAGAGTTAGTTCGTAAATGGTTAGTTTCCTTTTAGTTTTATAAGTTTAACTGCACTTGTACCAGCAGATGAAATATGCGTGACATAATAGCCATACAGTATATTGTTAAAATACATATCCATACCTGTTCAATAGTTGAAATTGTAATACCTAATACAACTAATTGCAGCTGTACTCTAAAAGTGTGTTTAAAATGTTCTCTGAAAATCTTCTGGATGTTTTAAATGGGAAGATAACAGGAATAAACACTATGTTTTTATCATTTTATATTTTATACAGATGATGAACATTTTGCTTTGAGCAAAGCGGAGGAAATATGAAGCACTGTACCGGATAAAGTGTTGAAAACAGAAGTAAATGTTTAAGAAATGGGACATTTTTTCTTACGTCATCCTACAAAAATAGATGCTTTGTTCTGTGAAAAGTCCTCTTTGACATATACAGTATATTGAAATATCCGACAATGTCATATAATTACCAGTTAATAATCCGAAAGTGTATAATTTAATGTGCAATACGAGTTGTGTTCTGTGTGTGTTCATAAATATGCTATAAACCCCAATTTGTATATCAATAAAATAAATTGTGTGCACTGAAAAATTGTGATCGAATATAGAGTAAAAATGTACGGTGTACCTATTGTTTAATGATTTTTTGTTAATTGCTTGGACTATATATTTTTAGACGATTGCTTAAATGGAAAAGCAGCAACTTCTGGTCTGGTCAACCTTTGTACAACGTCCTCGCAGTAGCTGAATGTTACACCCATTTAAGTTAATTAGAAGTAACCTGCTTCTCTGTGATTCAGCAACCATGTAGTGATATAAAGGGACACACTACTGCATTAAGTGTTTGAAATCAGTGCTATCGATTCATATTTATTCACACCGATACTGCCTCCAGCCCACTTAACGTGTAAGAGGCTTCAGATTAATTATGCTACAGCAGCAGCACATTGGACTTTGTGAAGAACGCAGGGGACGCAAGACAGAAACCACCTTCTCAACATTTTGCCCCCAGAGGATTGTTTGTATACAGAAAGACTAGATTGTTTTGTTTACCAAATAAACTTCAATAAAATATTTACTTAATATAAAAATCATTATAACACTTCAGATTTAAAAACAACATAATATAACCTGTTGCATATACAGTGGTATGAAAAAGTGTTTGCCCCCTTCCTGATTTCTTATTTTTTTTGCATGTTTGTAACATGTTTCAGATCATCAAACAAATTGAAATATTAGACAAAGATAACACAAGTAAACACAAAATGCAGTTTTTAAATGAAGGTTTTTATTATTAAAGGAAAAAAAAATCCAAACCTACATGGCCCTGTGTGAAAAAGCGATTTCCCCCTAAACCTAATAACTGGTTGGGCCACCCTTAGCAGCAAAAACTGCAATCAAGCATTTGCGATAACTAGGAATGAGTCTTTTACAGCGCTGTGGAGGAATTTTGGCCCACTCATCTTTGCAGAATTGTTGTAATTCAGCCACATTGGAGGGTTTCCGAGCCTTAACTGCTTTTTTTATGGTCATGCCACGACATCTCAATCGGATTCAGGTCAGGACTTTGACTAGGCCATTCCATTTTGTCTTCATTTTGTTTTTCTTAAGCCATTCAGAGGTGGACTTGCTGGTGTGTTATGGATCATTGTCCTGCTGCAGAACCCAAGTGCGCTTCAGCTTGAGGTCACGAACAAATGGCCGGACATTCTCCCTCATTTTTTGGTAGACAGCAGAATTCATGGTTCCATTTACCACAGCAAGTCTTCCAGGTCCTGAAGCAGCAAAACAGCCCCAGACCATCACACTACCACCC